CTTTGCAGTTTATTTATCATTGAAATGGCACACTGTAAGACGGTCACTTGTTTAAGACGGGGTCTCCTTTGGCACGATCGGGTCGGTTCGGGCTTGTTTCCTAGCCAGATTAAGGGTGCAAAGCGGCTATCGTGGCACAAACCGATCGCCCGACTGGTCGACCAAGTACTCATTGCTGATTTGATCGGGTCGGATCGATCGTCCGGCTCGTCGCCTGAAAACAAAATGTGTTTGTTTTTTAGGCGACGAGTCGGGCGCGATCTGCTTGCACCACGATAGCCGCTTTGCGCCCCCAATCTGGCTAGCAAACCAACCCGACCTGACTCGATCCCATCCGCAATGGGCACCCTGTTTAAGACCATAATTCTTTACATTGGCAACGGGCAGACGTCTTTTTCAGTGGTGGTATTGACAGATACGCTTTCCTCTCGTTCCCAAAAATCTATTGCTTTTCACTTTGATTATATACAATAAAGTCATGTAGAGTCTACGTGCCGAAGATTAGTAGAAGCTGGAAAAATAAAGACGATAGATGTTTGATACGAAAGAAGTAGCAAAGCACACCAGAGCACCGACTAACACATTTTTTTCAAATATTCTTTTCTATCAAAGATCTATCGTCCTTATCTCTCCTCCTCCATTTGTGTGCTTGTTACTCTCTTGTAACACCTCTAATCTTCGGGCACTTATATGAACTTAACGTATTATAGATGCCGTAAAACGCTTACTAAAACCAAAATAAATTTGGGCCAACCTGGACTGAAAGGGACACATAAAACATCCCAGACCGAACATAACATTTTTGCGAAAAGACCGAGATACTTGAAAACAAATTTTCCCCCTCTCGAGAACCATACTCGGGTCTCCAGCGTACGACACATACGCGTTTAACTGCAACACCACTTGTTTTACTTTTGTTCTAGTAGAGGTTTTACGGCGCTCGCAGCTGCATTAGGTCATATGAGCGCCAATGAGTGGATGTCAACAGAGAAGTTGTGTGTATGTGTTTGTGTATATGTGTGTGTATCTGCATGTGCGTTCGTGTGTGTGTGTGTGTGTGTGTGTGTGTGTGTGTGTGTGCTCTGGGGACTTGCCATTATCCTCTCGTTTCTTCTCGCCATTTCTGTTTAAAAAAAACAAAAACAAAATCAAACACAGATGTTTTTTACGCGGCCATCGATACAATTTAGGT